CAATGGAAATCACAAATTACATTTTTCCTAAGGAACTAACTCTCCCCAGTTCTTGAACTTCCTTTGATGTAATCCAGCAATGTGCTTCAAAACCAACGGACCCGTCAGCTAACAGGCTCAGTGCCCTGGAACCAGGACGGTCCCCAAACACTCGTCCCTCCCTCTATGTGTGACTGGAGGACGTGTGGGCTGACTCATGATCCGTGGTGAGCATCACAGGAACAGGGCTTCAGGGATAGGTTGGAGCCCCGAGGCTGTGTGGTGTCAGCTGGAAGGGGGACGCTGGGGCCCCGGGTGCCTCTGCATGACTGGGCCTGCCTTGGGGGGGCTTTGATGGCAAACCCTCTCGGGCGGCCGCCCCTTCCCTCTCGTGTCCAGACCAGACCTGGGCAGGTGTGCAGCCACGCTGTGTGTGCCGCTTGCTCGGGCCTGTTACACCTACCCTCCTGCCCCCGCCCCTGCCTCTGCCTCTGCTCTCCGCGGAGGTGCCTGGAGGGGATTGCTTGTGCTCTTGGCACCCCCTCCCCTGCCGTGGGAGCTGGTCATCGAGGGACACAGAGATACAAGCACTATTGAAACCAAGCCTGTCACCGTGGGAGAAGAGAAAGTGTGCTTCTTGGGAGCCTCCCAGCAGCACGCCTTTGGAAAGTGGGATGTGGAACCATGGGCGGCCTCTTCTTGGTGACATGCTGATAGTGGTGTCTGTGAGGCGTCCCCAGGCAGTGGCTGGACCCCGGGACCGGGCCGAGGTTTCCATCCCAAAGAGCTCACCCGTCAAGCAGGATGGAAGCCCAGAGATCCATGAATTGTCTTGGCTTGTGGAGAACAGGGTATGGTGTCCTGTGCACGTCCAGTGGGGTGCGGCATGGTTCCTGGGCGGAGGTGCTGCTGTGACCTCCTGGGGACTTAGTACCCAGCTATACTCTGCATCTGTAAACAGCCCTCATGGACCCCAACCTGGTGCCCTGTTGCCTGAATTTCTGGGTTAGAAGCTCCTGGTCTCCGCCTTGGAGGGACCCCTCCCCCTGTGCTGGTGATACAGTAAAGCTGCCACCATGGGAAGCACATGGAATATGACAGGAGGGGTGACCTCCTTTCTCAGATAGGGTCCCTGAGGATGAGATGGGTGACAGGGCGTGACGGGGCGGCAGGAGGAGCTCCAGCTCTGTTCCGGGATATAGGAACCTGTGGCAGGAATGGCAGTGATGGGCCAAGTCCCCAGGGCTGTCCCTTCCTCCTGTAGCCCAGTCGTGGCCTGGCCATGGCCCATGGTCCCTGCTATGCCTCACAGAGATGTCCATCCTCCATGGAGGCCGTCCTGGCAATGCACTTGCCCCGTGGGCCTATAACCCTGGCAGGTGCATGGAGGTCACCCCGTGGCCACTTGAGACAATGTCTACACTCCAGGCCCGGGGATGGAGCACAACACAGCTACCTGGCCTGGGACGGGGCGATCCTCTGTGCACGCAGACTGTCCCAGCCATCAGACCCCAGTGGGCATGCCCGCAAGCCACGCCTCCAGCACGGTGCTTCTCTCCTTTCTGAGGAATGTGCATAGTAAAACACACCTGAGTCCCACAGAGCTGAGGGGAGCCCTGGGCGGCCTGCAGCAGGCTGTTTAGACCTGGGACATCACGAGGCCCTGCGCACCAGCCGTCAGTGGGATGCGGATCGTGACCTGCTTTTATTGCCGTAAAACACACACACCATGACATGAACCCTCTTTGGCATTTGTAAGTACAGACTTGAGTGGCACTGGTCCATTGGCAACTATCACCACCTTCCTCCCGCCTCCAGAACTCTGCTCCTCTGGCGCCCACCCTGGACTTCCTGTCTGCCTGGATCTGATTCTGCTCAGACCTCGTTGGGGGGGGACCCTGGGGCTCAGGTCCTCGGGGGTTCTCAGGGGTACGGCCCAAGGTCCCCATACCCAAAGTGCCGGTGCAGGGGTCGCATACAGTGAGTGCTCGGAGTTACTTCCTTCTCTTCCTGCTCCTTTCCTTGCATGACCCGGACAAAGACACCCCACCCCCCACCCCAACGTGTGCGTGTGTCTCTCAGGGCAGTTACACAGCACCCATTACACAGATGGGGACGTCTTCCCTGGTTCCAGCCTCAGGAGTGAGGCCCGTGGACAGCTGACCTTCACCACTTCCTCCTCCTCCTCTGCCCTCCTGTCCTGACTTCCTCCCACCCCCATGCAGCTCATCGAGGACGAAGACCAGAGCTTCTGGGTGCCTGCAGGCAGCCCCAGGTGTCAGCTCCTTCCTGGAAGTCAATGTAGAAGTACTGGAAGCCTCTGCATCTGGACGCGCCAGGCCTGGCTTGCTTCCCACTCCTGCCTGGCTCCTCATCCCCCTGCCCCGGCCCAGTGGCCTCTCTGGATTCCCACAATGCCCATGCGTCTGTCACAGCAGCAGAGTATTAGCCTTCATCAATGCTCTTTTCTGAGCCTCTGTAACAGGCAGGATCATGTCCCCAAACGTCACACGCACCTGGAACCTGTGGCTGTGACCTATGGAAGCAGGGCCTTGCAGGTGCGCCCAAGAGGAGGCCACGCTGGCCAGAGGGACCATATGTTTAATGACCAGGACCTTCCAAGAGGAAGGGCGTTTGAGTACAGAACTGCAGACACCCTGTGGGGGGCCAGCATGCAGATGGGGGCAGAGGTAGGAGTGATGTGTCTGTGAACTGGGGGATGCTGAGCAGGGCTGGCCATGACCAGCAGCTGGAGACACATGCGCGAATAGGTTCTCCCGCGAAGCCTCTGGGTGGAGCCCCTCAGCCCATGCCTGAATCTCAGGCTGCTGGCCTCCTGTGGTTACGGCAGGCAGCCGGGAGAGGTCGTGCCCCGCATTCCTCAAGGCTGTGGCGTCTGGGTCAAGGGCATTTGGATGAGACAAAGTTCCGATGGGACTCCTCAGCAGCCCGGATGTGCTGTTGTGTATGATAACCCAGGAGGATGAGGCTGTTGCCTGCAAAGCCTTCTTGTCCCGGGACACTTGCTGCCATGTGGAAGGATGCCCGTGGTATCCTTCCAGGGCAGCGTGACCAATGCCGGCAGTGGCTCCCGATGTCCTGCACTTGGTCATTTTTCTCACCTTACTTCACTTAAAGAGGGCTTCTTGCACCCATGGACGTGTGCCCCTTGACTTCAGACCTCCAGACCCTCAGGAGGCCACCTTATGGACCGCAGACCCTGACCCGATGACTCACCCCAACAGCCACATCCGTCCATAACAAGTGGCAAGAAAAGCATTGCAGCCGTTGCACTCGCAAACCGCATGGCGTTGGGCAAAGCATGAGCCTCGATGTCTTGCAATGGCAAAGACTGTCAAAACACACACAGTCCTCAACATGGACGTCGTCTCCAGTTGGCGCTGGTGGATATGAGCAACCGTTCCACTGCCCAGTGTTTGAGTGCCCTAGAGAGCCCCATGCGTGCAAGGTGATGGCTGGCCCCGACAGCTGGGAGAAGTGCCTGCCGTGTGATGGCCAGTGCTGGAATCCTGTGGGTCTCCCCTGCTCTGCCACACAGCTTGGAGCCCTCTGTGCCCTTTCCTCCTGAGTGTCAGAGGCCAGGGAAGCACAAGTGAGTGCCAGAGTACGCAGCGGGGTCTCTCGGTGGGCTCCTGCAAGTGTCTGGAGAACCTCAGCACGAAGGTCCTACGTGAACAGACGGCCCAGGGGTGCTGAGCTCCCCAGGCTGGGAGGGACAACCTGCTAGGTGTGACACAGAGGAAAGTCGGTGCCTTGAGGGTAGTGGGACAGCCCGTCCCCACATGGCTCTAATGCCAGAGTTGAAGGGCTCTGAGCCACCATCAGGTCTGGACAATGTAATGCTGAGGTTCGTTTTTTTTTTTTTTTTTTTTTTTTTTTGGGGGGGGGCAGTGTCAAGGCCATGAGGAAGAGCCAGGGGCTGGGCAGATGTGCCCCAACCTTGGTGTCTGTTTGTCCTGTATGCATGCATCGACACAACACTTAGATGGTCTCGGAGCCCTTCCCGACGTCTCTGGACCCCCCTCTTCCCCGCCCAGGCTGTCCGCACGGTGGAGACAGGAACACTTGCCCTCTCATGGGTGGAGAGGCTTCAGAGGCCTGATTGGCAAGTTGGGTGAGGCATTTACTCTCAGAGCTGCCATACCAGATACTGGCATCACCACTGGGGATCTAGAACCACCTGGGCTTTATGCCTCACCCTGTGGCCATTGGTGTGGGGCTGGCTATCTTGGGCCTGACAGGTGCTCTGTCTGCATGGCCATGGGTGCAGGGCTGGCTGTCCTGGGCCTAACAGATGCCCCACCCTACCTGTTGCTGCTCTCTCAGCCTTGTCCCCTGCTGGCTCTTCTGGGCGGAAGCCCAGCGGCGTGCCTGACACATGGGGGCAAGTGTGCAACCGTGCCACCTTCAAAGCCCATTCCCGCTTGGCCCTGTGGCATGGCTGAAGCCTGAGGAGGATGCGGGGGCAGGAAGGGAGGCCTCTCCCTCTCCCAGTTGTGCACCTAGTGGCTCACACTCTTGGCGTCCCAGCCTCAGTCCAGGCGACCAGGACTGTGCCAGACAAAACACACTCGCTTGGCCTTTTGAATGCGTTAAAGAGCATCGACAAGGGACAGAAACTAACATGTGAGCACTGTTCTCTCCCCTCATAGGAGAGAACAACAGATAAGGACACATTTGAATGTAATACAATCATTTAAATGCTTATTAACTCTACTTCTTTACGTTTCATGAAAGAAAATTGTACAGTGGTTAGAAAAGCAAGAGTCTCTAGAGCATTCAATGTCTCAGAGGGAACGTTCATACTCCAGTTTTGAAAAACAAGAGACTGATAATAAAAAACATTAAAAAACATTAAACCTCCCATACATCCTGAGGTTGTAACATCTGATGAGCACCACCTATAAACTAGTTTAAATTTACATCATTGAACCCATGGCCTTACGATCAATTTATCAAGATCCCATTTTCAGAAAAAGTTTTGATTACAATAGACTCACCTGCCAGAAGTCGGTGACGGTAGCAGGCAGTGGGCCCTGGGTTGCGATGTAGGCAGGATTCCTAGGGTCATGATCCATCTGTAGGGATTAGATGATAGGCACAAAGATCAGCTTAAAAACTAGTAAAAACCAGGAAAGAAAGCAGGGGCTATAGAGGAAGTGGAGGTGGCATGTCGCATATGCCAAGTGCCAGCTGCGTCAGCACCAGAGGCCTGCGGGCGTGAGAAGGGCAGGCTGGCCTTCCTGCTCTCCCTTGGGATTCCAACGGAGCTGGGCTTTGAGGTGGAGCCCCGGGGGCCCTGCACCTGGAGCCCTGTGACGGCACTGGCGAGCCTTCTTTATCCCTGATACTGGAGTGGCAGAGGCAGCACAAGCCAAGATGGAGACCAAGCCACTGAAGAGACCAGATGCCAGTAAACCAATAGGCTAGGCCGAGGCCGGGTGCGGGAGCACAGGGCAGGGTGCCACCAGGGGTCTGCTTCTTCGGGGTCAGCGGCTGTAGAACGCTCAGCTACAGCCAGCATGAGTGGCCTCCACCCCAGCCACTGGCCTCCCCCATGCCACAGGCCAGCATGAGCAACCTTCCCTCTGGACATGGGCTCCATCTTGGCCACAGGCCTCTACTCAGGGCACCTGCCAGCATGAGTGGCCTCCACTCTAGCTGTGAACCTTGACCCCAGCTGCCTGCCAGTGTGAGCAGCCTGCACACCCACTATAGGCCACGTGCAGGGTTCAAATCCACAGGACCTCTGGGACAGATGCAACCTCGGCTCTCTATGGTCAGGGTCCAGGCCCCTGAACCACCCTTCGGGCTCCTGGAAGAATTAATGAACGAGTGCATTCCGCCTCTCACGAAGAGTTAGCTCCTCTCATGTGGGAGCTTGTTTCTATTACCTGGAAAGGGGCGCTGGCTTGCCGGGTCACCCGGGGTCTGCGAACGTGGTGTGCGGGCACTCCAGGGGAGATGTGCCCACCTTCCAGCAGGTCGCACCTGATTCTGGGGCTACTGTGCTGGGCAAGGGGCCAACAACGCACCAAAGGCAGCATGTGGTTGTGGGTTTCCTGGCTGGTTGATTACAAGCAGCCTGCGAGCCTCACAGGAGCTGGCCTTAAACACCTTAATTACAACATTCAACGCAAAGACCGTCTAAGCAGGGAAAAGAAGGAAAATGGGCCGAGGGACAGACCCTGGGCATGGCAGTAGGGTGGAAGTGTGGTCTGAGAGCCGTGAGATGGAGGGCGCTGCCCCGCACGGCCCCGCCGTGGTCCAGAGTGCAGGGGCATCAGCATCTCATCCCTATTGGGCAGCCTGGACAGGACCGCAGAACCCACCCCAGATGGGCAGATGGGGCCTCGTGCAGGAACCCCACCCGGGACCCTCCCCCCAGGTGCCAGGCAGCTGCCCACCTGTCAGACCAGATTCCTTCCCATCTGGCGCCTGAATCTACTCTGCTGCTAGCAGGTCTTGATTAAAGGGCTAAGACGCTCTGTACTTATTAAAGACACTTGTGGAGAACACATTTCCCAATACAGTGAAAGAGGAGGGGGTTTCAACCATGTGTGGTGTTATGGTGACACACGAGGACACGGGCTGTGCGCCCCGCAGCCACCTAAACCACATGGCCCTGCACCGCCTCGGGGAGCAGCCTGAAAGAGGCACCGTCTCTGGAACGCGAGTGTCCCACCAGCACTTCCCGAGAGGATGGCTGTCAGCATAAAAGGGTGCGCGTCACACCTTATAATTACGCACATTATGGGAAGAGCATCTAAGTCACTCCCACATGACAACGGTGGGACGCTGGCTGGTGAGGGGAGGAGGGAAATGCTTTCTCTGTCTCCAATTTAGCGATTCCCAATTAAAACTGGACCTCGCTTCCAAATGCACCACAACAAACACAATATAGGTAAAATTACGTTACTCTGGCTGAAAGCCCCAATTAAAATGTTTCAGGAGAAAGAGCTTAGCAGAAAGAAGGGAGTTTTGATTTTTCAAAATACGCATTTGGGGGCAACAGCTATTTACAACAACCCCATCTCTTTCTAGCAAACAATTCTGCATAAAGAGCAAAAACCCCACCTCCCTTTGAAATCTGGTTTTCTTCTTTCTCGCCCAGAGCAATCTAGAGAGCACCACATTTGAAAATCGTTAGTGTGTTCATAGCAGCACACTTAGTCGCTTTCAAGCTGAGAAATATGTGATTAATAGTAAAAACATGAGCAGGCCTTTGGGAGGGTAAGACAAGGCGGCCTAGTGTGGGGGTTCTCAGTTGCGTGCGCCCTTTGGAACCCAGGCAAGGCTGCCGCCCTCCCAGCCCCCTCAGCTGCAGCCCCCGGCGGCCACGTGTGGGGCAGTAGATACCTTAACGATCACAGAGCAGCCAAAGCGTCATCAATTTAACAATGATTCAAAGACAATTAGAATTATTCCATCCTGTGCACACTCTGTTGAACAGAAAATAACTCTGGGCAGAAGCACTCGGTGCACGTGGCCCTCTCGCTGTTTGGTGCAATCTTTGGCCGGAAAAAAGTAAAGCATATATTTAACTAACTGAACAGAGGCTTTCTGGTTAAGATTTCCAAGGCAAGATGAGTGTAATGAAAGGCAATGAGATAAGTTTCTACCAACACCACCTGTTCCACCAGGAACCCCGGCCGGGACCCCAGTACGTGGACCCTGGGCGGGGAACATGGGGCTGCAGCTCCCAGAGCCCCAGGCTGCCTCTCTCCCCACCCCCCATGGCTTTCCTGTTCTGCGTACAATGCTCTTTACTTGCACTTCCCTTACATTCCCAAACATAAATTCCTGTCGCTGGCCCTCAGTCCCAGTGCCTGTAGGGTGGAGCGGGGTGGGTGGAGGGACAGTTGCAGGACCTCTGGGGCCTGCTGGCTCTGAGATTCCATGTGCAGATATGTGCACACTCATCTGTATGCCCGTGGGAGTGTGTAACCCTGAGGCTCTCCCTGAAAGCCCATGCGGGTCCACGCCTCGCCCTGGGGAACTGCGTCAGACAGGACCCTCCCCACGGGACCACGTGTCATGCCAGGCGACAGGGTGCCGGGTCCCAAGTACGATGAAGACACAATTTTGCTTTTACTGTGTTTGCTTGTTTGTTTTTCCCCCAGAAAAAGGGAAACTGTTGGTGTTGAATCCCATGTCCCTGTGGCTGGCTGATTCTTACGTGGCAGGGTATGGGAAAAGGGTGTTCCTGTCAATGTTTAAACGCACTGACACAACACCTCACACCTAGCCGTCTGCTCTAAGTTGCGAATGGCATTTATTAAATAGGTATGAGTGGTTTTTAGAAACTCTGAACTGCATTAAAAACTCAGCAATAGGGACATCTGGGTGGCTCAGTGGTTGAGCATCTGCTTTGGGCTCAGAGCATGACCCCGGGTGCTGGGATCAAGTCCCACATCGGGCTCCCTGCATGGAGCCTGCTTCTCCCTCTGCCTGTGTCTGTCTCTCTCTGTGTTTCATGAATAAATAAAATCTTAAAAAAAAAAACACTCAGCAATAATTTCCCCAGTAATACAAAGAAAAAAAGGTTTTTAAACTTGAGCATTCATCATGTCAAGACCAGGGACCTGCGTCCTGAGGCTTAAAGAGCTCGGCAGAGAAGCAGGTGGGCTGCTGCCATGTCCTGCGGGGAGATCACCTCTGTCCAGCCCGATGGCCTCGCCATGACCGTGACCCCGGGAGGGGCACACATGCTTTTACTCTGAAATCTCGGGGAGTAAATGTGCATGTTTCCCTTCTCTCGTCCTATCTGCCTGCCCCTGCACCTGCCTTTTCTGACATTTAGAGCAAATTTCACCAAATGTTTTCTTAAAAACAAGTGACTATCAAGCCAGAGGTTTCAAGTTACAAGTTATTTTCTAGATATCCAGTCTTCCTATAGGAATTTACTGAGAAACGGTGGCTTCGGTAATCGACAGCAAAAGAGGCTGCTCTAGAAGCTATTTTCATATTTTCTTCTGAGTTGAGATTTAAGTAAATTACAGAATGTAACACACACACATAGATGCCTGCTTGCAAATACTTCCTGAGAACCAGAAAGCTGGCCCCCATATTTGGCCAATTTCTCCTGATATTCGGGACATCTAACCGGTCACCCCTTTGTGAGGAGCCCACGTACACCTACCCACATTCTGAATTAAAATGTCAAACCATTTTTTCCCCTCCCTCCATAAACAGAGGAATGAAGGAGAAGTGTGGTTTCAAGGGCTGGGGGCATCTCAGGCCTGTCCCCGGCAAGGACATTTGTGTGCTGCTTGGGGTGCCTGGATGCATCCTCAGGAACAGCCAGGCTGCAGGCCTGGGTGGTGCTGATGGGCTGCCCCACACACATGCTGTGCAGGAAAACAGAATTCCCATTTACTTGGTGACCTTTGCTCTCAAAGCAAAGACTGCACGTTATTTACCACTGGATGACTTCCCTGGAATTTAATGAGGACCTTGTACAAATATGACAGATGTAATTATTGTAGTTTTATTCCATGCAGCCAGGGTCTTCTTGGGCTATAATTGTTAGCTTTGCATTGGGAATGCTGCTAGGAAGCTTGTTATCACGGCACCTTCGGTTATTTCAGAAAGAGGATGTACCGCGGTTCATCCTCACAACCCAAATTAGGAAAAGAGAATCATGGCATGAATGAAGGGGAAAGAAAGGTTGCCTTAAATCCCTTCTTTTCCCTGGCAGCACCTCCGGACCGAGTGCCTGCCCGGTGGGGTCGGGGTGGGGGGGCGCCATCCTGCGTTTTCCGTAAGGGAAGGGTGGCGGGGATGGCGGAAGGTTCCAGAGCACCCTCACTGTTGAATGGCCCCTGGGGAGGATGCGGCTCCTGCACTGATGTTGCAGCTGGGGGTGACCGACAGCAGGAAGCTAGAGCCCATGAATGGGGGGTGGGGTGGGCATGCCCCAGCCCTGGACGTTCATCTTTTACACTTGAAAATAATTGCTTTGCTTCCCTTCCCAGCCCTGTCACATGGTTCATGCCTGAGATGAGGCTGCCAGTAGGAGGGCATGGCTCTCTGGGCTGATCTGCAAGCCATCACCACGGCCCCGTGGGGACCCCATTGAGGCACGTACAGTTCCCCGCCTCACCAGAGACAATGCCCTACCCATGGAATGAGGCTTTGGCTTGATTTCTGAATCAGAATTAATGGAAAAATACTAAGCACAGCAGGGCATTTATTGAGAAAGACAGGGCGGCTCTGGATGAGAGCTTCGGGAACACAGATGGGACTGGCCCTTGGGGTTTCCTATGCTGGACCTAATGGAGCCACTCCTTAAAAATCACTGCAGGAGCTGAGCTCTGGGCTCAGGGAGTGTGGAGGGGGCAGCCGACCAGCCCTTAACCCAGTTTCTGGCAGTGAGGATGCTACTGTGCTCTCGCTGTGCATGGGAGGGGCTGGGAGAAGGGATCCGACCCTGGCATACTGACTCCTAAGAACACACTTGATACAAATCTAACCAGTGGCTACAGGAATGTTCTAGTAGCAGCAGCAGCAGCAGCAGCTGCTTGAGATCAGGTGGCGGATGTTCTCACAGAAAGCCTGCTCTGGGGCAGGTGGGGTTGTCGGGGCACTGCGGGGTATGACTCACTGCCTTACCCAGCCCCCCACGTGCCCCCAGCAAGCTCCCAGGGCTGGAACCCTCCACACCTGGCTCTACCACATGCATACTTGAGATTTGGTGAGACATCCTGACACTTCTCTGATGACCAGGGTTGACATATACACTTTACAGGGTGTGGAGGGGGTGGGGGCATACCCAGCCTTCTGCAGAAGCCCCACCAGCTCCCAAAGTCTCTGCCACCAACCACGCTCCTTAACACACTCATCCGGTGGATGGACGCTCATTCCATGTACAATCATTCTTGCCCCACGTGGAAGAGCCAGGCTGGCGCCTGGGTCTGACCTTGGAGATGGGATTGGTCACCGTCAGGGTGCTCTGACTTTCCCTCTTATTGCTCTCCCGTGGGGTTCATGACAGGGGACACTGCTCCAGGTGTGGGCTGCAGGGGACTCTCTGGAAGCCAGTGCCTGGGGGTCATGGGGTCTCCTCCCGGGTGCTCTGTTCTCAGAAACAGAAAGCCCGGCCCCGGGAGGCATGGTCCTGTGCATGGCTGCTGCTTGTCTTGACGGGAAGGCCTGCCTGGAAACACCCCTGGGGACCGGCCCATGCACTCTGCCTTGGACCCTCCAGGTCTTTAACAAGGGCACAGTTTGGGTCTCATTTCTTCCATTTCTCCTGAATACATAGGGAACCAGTGGGTCTAGAAAACAGGAATGCAACCCCCCGCGGATTTTTCTAAAAGTCACGGGTTCCAGTCAGTAAAACAGCAGTAAACCAGCCGCAGCCATTGCTGGGCCCCTCAAGCCAGTGAACCTGGGGCTGCTCCCGCCTAGGGAGGACCCAGCCCAGGCCAGCTGCTTGAAGCTGGTCACCTGGTTAAGACTAATTACCCGGTTCACTAGTTGCCTAGTTGAGATTAACCCTCCAGTTGAGCCCAGTCACCTGCTGAGATCCCCCGGGCTCGCAGCCCCAGGAGCGGGCCCTGCCAGAAGGTACTCACGATGGGGCTGGCGTTGATATAGTCTGAGCTGCTGTGGCTGTTCTCTGACTTCAGCAGGACCCTGGAGTGATCATCTGCAAGCAACCCCAAAGGCATAAAGTTAGATCTGCATACAGGCCTGTGTTCACGAGGGGCCACTCAGGGAAACAGCAGGTGTCGAATACGCTTCGAGGGCTGCCTGCTGTGACCCCAGTGGCCGTGCCCGCTGTGACCCCAGTGGCCGTGCCCGCTGTGACCCCAGTGGCCGTGCCCGGGACTCTGTGTCCCTGCCCTTCCATCCTCCATCCAGCTCCTTTCCCGTGACGGGCGGAGCAACAGGGCACATAGGTTTTACCTGCAGAATTGAGGTATTGTTATGTTTTTCTTACACAGAATCCTCAAACCAGGATCAGGCGTTCCTCTACAGTATTTTATTTTTTTTAAAGATTTATGTATTTATTCATAAGAGACACAGAGAGAGGCAGAGACACAGACAGAGAGAGAAGTAGGCTCCCTACGGGGAGCTGGATCCATGGACTCCAGGATTACGCCCTGAGCCAAAGGCAGACGCTTAAATGCTAAGCCACACAAGCATCCCATTTCTGCAGTATTTTATTTAGGGTTTCCCTGTAACCAGCAGACACATGTGGAGGCATATAGCAAATGTATGAGTACTAAGATATCAGGCAACTGTTCTCCACATACACTCATGTGCTCTGGAAATGGTCAAATCAGGAGATTATAGGACTATTCGGGGGAGAACAGGAGAAAAAGAGAACGTAGCTAAAGAAGGAAGAGAGATGGTGCAGGGGGGAGGCTCCGCACCCACAAGCCTCCAACATGCATGACGGCTCAACTGAGGTGGCGACTGGATGCATTGGTGGGGGTGAAGGGAGTGGGGCTGTCAAAGCTTGGAGTTTGACACAGGAATTATTCTTAATTCTGGTTCTGGAACAACCACCTCCCCGTGGACAGTGACTTTGCCTATCTTCAGGAACTTTCTAAGCCGCATCCTGAGGGATGTTGAGGAGGGGCGCAGGGAGCAGGGCGGTGCTGGTTCCTCCTGCTGACAGGCTCGGGGTGGGGTGGGGGATGCCCTGACAGCCCCTCCTTCTTCCCATTGTCTCTGGGGCTGCGGTCACTGTCTCTGTCCTCTGTGAGGTGCAGCTGGGAACCAAGGGCCACCAAACATGGCAGCACGCTCAACTCTGCCCTCTGCTCTGGTCCCTGCCTTTGGGCGCCACACACAATACCCATTTCTTTTCTTCTGAGACACTGAAGACAAGCTGGCTGGAGCCTCCGGAGCCAGGGAAGCACGGGGTTGTGTCTCGCCCCCGACCCACATCTTAGCAGAGCATCCGCTTCTAGGCCCCCACCTGAGAGCAGCTTGGGCAGCAGGGGCAGGAAGGCATGGGGACATGGCTGTGCCTCAGGTTTCTTCCATTTCTCTAGGAGATTTTAATTTTTTTTTTTTTAAACAACTCTGGGGCTTGGAAACTTGGGTGAGTCCACTGGCCTGGACATCATCCTGTCGGTCTTAGTGGGATACCGACGTTAGCTTTCTCCAGTAGAGGAGAAGCACCCAGAGATGAGCAGGAGCACACAGGTGCTCATATACGCATGTCCGCCCCACCCAAAGGCAGTGCAAACACTCAGAAATCACAATGGCAGCTGCTGAGGCCTTCCCCTAAGGCGTCAATAGTGATACAGAATCCTACTGCTCAGGCAGTGAAAATTGGCACAATTTCCAGTGGCTGGAAATTGAAATAAGATTTACCAGAAAAGTTGGTCAACTCTGACATCCCCACACGCCACAAATGCTACCAAACGTACTGGGAGAGCTCCATGCACCTGGTTCCACGTTGCCCCTGGCTCCCTTGTTGCTGTGACCGGTAGCCTGGAAACTTTGGCTCAGCCCTGCACGCCGCATGCCAGCCATGGAAGGGCTTCTGCTGAGACTTGGGCAAACCGCCCCTACCTGAGACCCATGTTCCCCCAAGGAGATGTGGAAGTATGGAAGGCAGCTGCCCCATCCCAGTCACAGGAGCATCGCAGCTGGATTCCTCTTCCCAGAGATGAGGCGACCAAGGACAAAGAAGTTTCACCATCCTCCGGACCCATTCTGGCTCCTGGATGTCTGCAGTCATCGGTCACTCGACTCCAGCCCTCCCCTTCCCATGTCGGCATCTGTACTGAGGCTGGAGGGTTCTTCAGGACGCCAGGCTGCCATCTTGGTCTGCAGCTTTCGTTACCCCAACACCCTGCCTCTTGGCCTACTGGCCTGTTGTCCGGTGAGTGGAATGAGCTGGGACCCCATCACACTATCCCAAATGAAGTTCAGGAAGCCCAGTTCCATGGCGGGGGGCCTTATGCATACCTCAAGATGGGAACCATGATGTGCTGCTCAGAAGCAGTTACCTTCTAGCAGGATGCACCAGGTCTACTGTTGCGGCCTACACAGAATTCTGGAATAAAAAAAGCAGAGCTTCTGGCTGCTTCCAGAGGGTTCCAGACGGCCTCCCGGGGGCCCTGCTCCATGGAATATGGTCAGCACAGCCAACTTCAGGCACTGCCGAGAGTGGCAATGGGGACCCGTCCTGACTGTCAGAGAACCTTTCTCAAAGAACAGTCACTGGCCAAGGGACGGCAGGTGTATCGGGAGGAAGGACTGCAGCCACCAGCCTCTGGCTTCAGGGGCACGCTGAGATGGCGCCAACATCAACCCGTTGGACAGGTGCAGGCTTGGGGGCTGCTGGGCGCCCTCTACCTCCAAGGGGATGGATGGCACTGCCTGGCCTGAAAGCACCTGGCCAAGAGAACAAGTGCCAGTTGACTTTCCTAGTCAGAAAATTAAGAAAACGCTTCACAAATTTGGGCATCTTGGTGAAATAAAAACCCAATCTAACATTTTTGCTTGGCACTCAGAGCTTGGCACTCTGGCGGCTGAGGGGATGGGCTATTGGAGCACCTGAGCCTGGCTGTGAGGACAGCTATCCATGAAGCTCATGTCCCGCAGGCCTAGGACAAGGGCTTCCAGAGCTGCAGAGTTCTGCTGCCTTCCCATTACGCCCTTGATTTTGTGGCAACACGCCGATTTCAAAATTAACAGTGAACTTCTTTTGTTTTTAATATTGGGCCATCTGAACTTCCATCTGAAACACCTAGAGTGGCATTGGAAGGGTCGGAGCGTGGCAGAGCGACATTCACATGGCAGGGACGGCCCAGGGGGTGTTTCCATGGGGTGGGCAACTCTCAACTGTTTTGTGGTTCACTTGTCCTGTTCATCTTTTTCACAAAAGCTGATACGGAAGCCAACGAGCTGATGTCAGATTGAGTCTTTGTAAGGCAAAGGGTGGGCAGGGTGGCCTGGCAGGATTGCAGGTTCACTCAAGGTCGTCGGAGCAGGTTAGAGGTAAGGGTGGGGTGGGGCTCGGGAGCAAACTCTCCTCTCCCTTGCCTGTGCCCAGCAGACTAAGTGCTGTTCCTTGGGACGGCCAGTGTGAACACACACGCCTGCCTTGGCAGCAAATGACAATGACCCCAGCCACACAGCCAGGGTTTGCAGCCACCTGGGTGCTTGTACTTCAGCTGAGGAGGGTGTGTGTCCTTCAGGGCCTCGGAGACTTTGCTGGGAAGCCGGGAAATGGCAACTTGGAATCTTCCTGTCTGCATCCGGGCCTCAGATGGAGTCATCTCTTGTGAGAGCCACGACTGTGAGTGTCACCAGGGGTGGGGGGAGCAGAAAAACACCCACCAGGAAGAAACTTGTTGGATTATGCGGCAGTGTGGTGCGGGGTCCTTTCCTCAACCCTTTGTTTGAGGGCGACATTCCAAGCTCTTCCAGCATTCTACATGCCCTACAAGTAGTTTCACACATCTTCTTTCTTCCTGGAACACTGTGCATTCAGAACAGGGGCCGTGTCCCCCTTTTAGATCGAAGAAACCAAGTCCCGGGAAGACCCACTGAATGTCTCGGCAAAGGCCACGCAGCCAGTAGCTAAGAACCCGGGGCTTGAATCTCAGCGCTGCCACCTGCTAGCCAGGTGGTATTTGGGTAAATTATTCAAGATTTGGAAGTGTCAGAGGTGTCATCCAAAATGTAGGCTAAGGGTCTCTGGGCTGCGGGGTTGCCATGATGCTGCGTGCACTGTAATGTGGCATAAGTTCAAGACGACTGCTGGACACATACCTCACTGAGCAAAAGTCAGTTAAATTGGCAAAATTTATTTATGGTACACTGTGTCATCAGTGAATATGAAAGGATTTTCATAAATGCCAAGAGAAGACACAAGTTCTAGAATTTCCTCTTGATTATCAGTGGGACAAAGGACACGAGAAGATAGACTGGATGCTTCTGGATGGCTGTGGCTGAACCATGAGTGGGCACGTCCCCACATGTGCTGTCATCTGGAACACATCCCCCGAAACCCAAGGACGGAGCGTGGAGGCTCCCTTTGTCCCTAATGTGTCTGGTAACACGAAGGGTGGTGTTGTTTTAGGTGTCCTGGTTACATCATTCAAGCCACGTGAATTGATGGATATGGATCAGCAATCCTTACCCCACCGGCAGATGAGTTCCTGGACGCTGAGTGCCTACGGATTGGGTATGCGTGGGTCTCTGGAGGACATGGGCTCCGCACCAGGGAAATCTTCACCTGAGCGCTTTGCTAATGTCCTCATGGGGCTTTCCAGGGATCTTGACCCTCTCTCAGGCTGGCTGGATGCTGTTTCCTTTACTTTGATGGTGTGGTGAGTGACCCACTGGCGCTCTGTGCTGCGGGGTCAGAGTTCCGAGTCTTTAACTTGAGAGAAAGAAGCTCAGTGGTGTCTGCTACCACCATTCTCTGACTTCATGGGTCCACGGGTGGTTTGGTGTCCTGCAAGCACGTAGCCTGGAGCTCTCCGCTCCAATCAGTCTACCAGCTGTTGAGGTTGCTCTAATGATCCTCGCCGTCTACACACTTGATGGTCCTCGCTGATTGGGACTCGTCATAGCAGAGCAAAGCCATACATTTCTGTACTGTTTGCTTCAGCACCGAGTGGCTTCACAGACAGTGGGACCCTCCATAGCTCTGGGAAGCTGAAGACCACAGTG